TCATGAAATTGAAGTAAAACAAAAACGATATAGTAACAATCTTATAGATCTATTCACTAAAGCTTAACCATCATCAACATTCAAGACATTGGTATATGACATTGGAATACGTCGAGTTTGTGATCAATTCAATTGGTTTCTTATTAGGGGGAGATTTTCATCAGGGGAAAGTATCCACAACAAAATACAGGACATATGTACGTTGTACTCTTTTTCCTTAACTTGGTTTTTTCCCATAGGATTTTCTTAACAAGGTTTAAAAGAGTCATATTATCTTAGCATAGTAGTCATCCAAGGGATAGTGTTGTAAATATTACATTATATATATTTTACATACATCATTACATATATATATATATAGAGTACATAAATGGATGACTTTTAACCTACCAATTAAATAGGTATTAGTATGTGACTCTATAACCTCCACCCAGAGTTAATGTTATATTTTATGACTATTATGATTGGAGACCTATAAAAGGAGGTCTTCACGACATTGAAAAATATACAAGTTGAGAAGTTCTTTCTCTATATTCTCTATATTATTTTTGTAGTCTCTATAATTCTCTTACTTTCACAACATATATGAAATTATAAAACCAACTACTTTTTGTCTAAATATAATATGAACAAAATAGATAAAAAAATTTAAAAATTTAGGGGGAGGAAATCTATTGGCTAAATAACGGCGTGAACTTTTGTACACGCCTAAAGCGTGGTCGACACATAAGTTCAGAAGATTCAGTTCCTGAAGGGCAACTACATAAAAACTCAAGAAAAAGTTATTGAACTAGAACATGAAAATGCACCCACATCATCTCAAATAATAACCCCTAAAGAGGAAAAAGTCCCTAAAGAGACACAAACACTTGAAGACGAAAAGATATTTACAAATGAAGAAATTTCTATTATGTATGCATACGTAGGTGAGGTGTGGGATCACACAAAAATGATCATCAATGATATAATAACTATTAAAATCTAAAATGGTGATGATATTAAACCATACACAATATATGATTGTCAATATAGAAATGATTGACCAAAGTAGAAGAAAACAATTCACTTGGAGCCTATTAACAAAATACAAAATATTAGACTTGTAATCCAATATACCTAAAGACATAAATATAGACTTGTAATTCTATAACATCGAAAGTTGTTAAATTGGACCCGCAGTCCAACATTGTAAAAAGTAAAGCCTATTGTATATAAGTGGGTATTTATATCAAAGTAACAATAATAATAAATATGCGACATTTAATACATTTAGTGGCTACATAGTTCCCGCAGAGACCCGGGATTGATTACGAAAAAATATACTCACTAGTAATTAACGCAATTATATTTCAGTATTGTATTAGTCTAGCAGTCTCAAAAGAACTTGACATGCATCTTATGGACATTGTCATTACATATTTATATGAAAAGTTAGATATTGATATTTATATGAAAGTTCCTAAAGGATTGCAATTACCTAAAGTAAATACATCAAAACCATGAAACATGTACTCAATTAAGCTAAGACAATCCTTATATGGATTGAAACAATTAGGAAGAATGTGGTATAACTGTCTCTAGTAAAGGAAGGGAATGTTAACAATCTCATATGTCCATGTGTGTTTATTAAGAAATCATAATTTAGATTTGTCATCATTGTAGTATATGTTGATGGTATGAATCTGATTGGAACTCATGAAGAGTTGATAAAATCTGTTGAATATTTGAAAAAGAAATTTGAGATAAAAGATCTTGGAAAAACAAAGTACTGTCTCGGCTTGCAGATCGAGCATAAGTTAAATGAAATTCTTATCCATTAAACAACCTATATCAACAAGGTTTTGAAGCGGTTTAATATAGATAAAAACATATTCTTTAAGTACTCCAATGGTTGTCCGATCTCTTGATGTCAATAAGGATCCCCTTTCGTCCTAAGGAGGAAAAAGAAATGTTTTTTGGTAATGAAGTACCACACCTAAGTGCAATTGGGGATTTGTTATACTTAGCACAATGTACTAGGTCTGATATAGCATTTTCCAGTCAACTTATTGACAAGATTTAGTTTTGCACCAACTTGACAACATTGGAATGACGTAAAACATGTCCTACATTATATTTGTGGAAACACATTTGGACTTGTTATACTCAAAGCAATCAACCAATGGTCCATAGTTAGTCAGATATGCAAATTTTAGATACCTATTAGATCCCCACAAGACTCATTTACAAATTAGGTACTTTTTCACATATGGTGACACATCAATTTCATGGCGATATGCCAAGCAAACTTTAATTGTTATATCTTTCAATCATTTTGAGATTCTTGCACTTTATGAAGTAAGTCGTGAATGTGTGTGGCTAAGGTCTATAGTCCATCACGTCTGAGATACTTGCAAGCTCCCTTTGATCACAGATTCACCAATAACCTTATATGAAGATAATGTTGCTTGCATTGTACAAATTAAAGGAGGTCTTATCAAAAGTGATAGAACCAAGCACATTTCACCAAAGTTCTTTTGCACTCATGAACTCAAGCAAAGTCAGGACATTGAAGTAAAACAAATGCGATATAGTAACAATCTTGCAGATGTCTTCACTAAAGCTTGACCATCATCAATGTTCAAGAAATCGGTATATGGCATTGGAATGCGTCAAGTTTGTGATCAATTCAATGATTTCTTATAAGGGAGAGATTTTCATCAGAGGGAATATCCACATCAAGATACAAGAGATATGCACGTTATACTCTTTTTCTTTTATCTAGATTTTGTCCCATTGGTTTTCCTAATAAGATTTTAATGGGGCAACATTGGTGCGTCCAACGTTATTCTAAAATTCATCTAAATATGTACTATATTTCCTTCACCAAATTTTTTTTCCCACAAGGTTTTTTTAGCATGTTTTAACGAGTCATATTATCTTAGCATATTAGTCATCCAAGGGAGAGTATTGTAAATATTACATTATATATATTCTATATACATCATTATATGTATTGTATATAAATGTGAATGACCTCTAACCTACTCCACTTACAGTTAATATTGTATTTGATGACTATTATGATTGGAGGCCTACAAAAGGAGGTCTTCAAGATATTGAGAAATACATAAGTTGAGAAATTCTTTCTCTATATTCTTTTTTTAGTTTCTATAATTCTCTTACTTTCACAACATATATGAAAATATAAAACCAGTTTCATTTTGTTTAAATATAATATGAACAAAATAGATAAAAAAAAAATTAAAAGACATTCAACTCAATCATTTATGAAAGTGAAACATAATATTCTTTCAAATCGCACTCATAAAGTCCAAGAAAATAATTATCCGACACTTAGTTGAGATCATTGTCCATTTTGTTAAAAAACATAATCTTTGAAATAACAAAAAATACTTTTGGATTAGAGCAAGGGCTACTATCTTACAGAAAAATAATTGAGAGCACTTGTACAATTGTGTATAAAAAAATAGGGAATAATTTATCAAATATAAAAGATGTAATGCCATTGGTCACTATAATATTTTGCATACATCTTACTCGATTCAAGAATAGAAATTAGATTTAAAGGGTCAATGGACCACTAACTAAAATTAAAAAGTTTATTTTTACTATACAAAGATTTAAAAAATTAGGGGGGCAATCTAAAAATGAGCAAAATCATAGTCCCAAACTATTCCCATATAAAGGGACTTTTCAAAGTCAAAGTGTCCACAATTGTCAAAAGGTGGCTTCTCCCCTAGCGACAGTGCACAACCACATGCATTAAATGGTGACAATTTTTAATAGGATACGAATTCAAAAATAACATGACACGTTAATATGAATGATAAATGTGTCAGCTAACTAGTATTGCATAAATAAAATGCTAATTTTTTAATCCAGTATTGACGTAACCCTTATACAATAAGAGAATTTTTGTACTCATTTTGATTCTTTTATATATATTAAGTTATTTTTTAGTTTAGTAAAAAACTATTAGTGTGAATTTGGTTAAGAAATAATAGAATCCTAAACATAAATTTTAACATTAAAATTTTAAATTATGGATTACATAGGTCAACATTAACACAATAGAAAAATAAACCGGTTGAGTTAGTGTGAGACATTTAGTTAAATGGATTGACTTAGAGTTTTTTTTTTTGGGTACCTTAAATGTATATGTAGATAGACTATTTTACATATCCGTCATACAACATTGCTCCTCAGTACCATATAGTTATCTGTAGGCAAGCCAAGGTCCCAATGTGTGCTCTGTGCGTTTAATAGTAGATTTAACCCTAAAGAATTGCCGTAGTTTTAGAGATTCAAACATTGAGCGAAAAAAATTTAAATTCGTACCCACTAGGCTTACAACCTAATAGGATACAATTGTCACCCCTATGAGCTAATACCCGAGCCCTTCCTATTCAAGTTAATCCCGGTAGTTCAAATTTTGCGAAGGCTTTGGTCTAATAGTACTTTTTGCCTTGTGAAAATTTTGTCTTGTTGAGATCAAGGGTTCAAGTTTCCCCTCCCCCCCCCCCCCTCCCCCAAAAAAAAAAAAAAACTTTGTGAGATATTAACATTTCCATGTTCCACCTGCACATCCTTGCTCCAAAAAGGAAATTATAAAAAATAAAATAAAACCGCTGTAAACCAAAATTTATCTTCGAGCATGGATATTATCAGTAAGAAAAAACGATAGATGGACAAATTTTCTGTTGACATTTTAAAATGGAGTCTAATTTTTCTGTTTTGAACAAATTTTGTTTAGAACTATCTAAATTCTATATTGTTCTGCCAGCTTTCTCCAATGACTATGACAACTAGATACAGTATAGGGATTTGGGGTTGGGCCATAAGAAATTTTCCCTCATGAATATTTTCATTTCGGCATGGATAACCTACCTTTAATCGAACCGGAGAGGGAATTAGTCGAGGTGCACATAAATTGGCCCGGACACACCCTGACCGTAGACCCCCAAAGGAAAAAACTAGATATAGTATGCTATATAGGAGATAAGCAACACTTGGTTAAAAAAAATCCTGTAACCTTTACATTTTACACACTTCACAACTAAATACAATCTGTTGTACAAAAGGAGAAACAATTTTTATCCCATAACATCATCTACAAGAAAAAAGGTCATATTGTAAACCTATAGATTTGACAGTGAAAAGGGACTAAAAGAGAAACTGTTACAGATGCGTGGTTAGTCAGAACGTGGCAACAAAAAGCTAAAGCCTGAATTCTCACGGATAAGAGGTGGTGGTTCGATGTCAGATATGTCTATTTGCTCCATCGACTTTGATATGTCATCAACTGAAAAGGGTATGCTGCATGATGGATTAATAAGAGATCAGTAACTGGATCAAAAACAGTTTCAGAAAAGAACACTTAAAGGCAGGTTGCATTTAGCAAATAGGGACAGCCTACAAGCCACCCACGAGGTTGGTCTCACAACTCTCATCTAAATATACGTCCAGCGATGGATTTTGGCAATGGCTGCTTAGCATCATCCTTTACCGAAAATTTGCCAAATGGTGTTCAAAGCCAAAATCAGAATCTGGTCATCAGAAATTTTTGGCAACGAAATTGGTTCTTGTTTGGATGGAAAGGTTTACTTTGTTTCTAAACTATCCTACACCCATCCTCAAGTAATTCTCAAGTTGCCGTGAGATACAAAGCAAAACTTTTAAACAAAAGAGCACAAAAAGCAAAGCAGAAAGTATCATCGGGAAGGAGCATGCTGATGCTAACCTTGAATCATCATCCAATAGAAAAGAATTGCTTACAGCGTTGTTTGAATCTTCAGTCATCAACACTCTCATGCTGGATATAACCTGAATGCGAATATTTGCAGTTAAGATATACAACAATTACTATTACAATAAATGTATGAATACCACACAATGTTTCTCTTTGAAGAAGATGACTCGAACCTAGTTTGAGTAATAGCATCCACAGAAACTTACATCCGAGGACACGCTATGCGTGCCATACTTGTCATCCCAGTACATTGTACTGATCCGATACAACTGTTGTATACTAAGCACCTGGAGAAGGAAAGACAAGGCTAGTTGAGATATAAGGAAGGTGCGAGAAAGGATACAACTACATAGCACCATTCAGACAGAGAGTGTATTATATCACTCACTGGGCACAGGTCATGGCTTATTTCATCCAATGTTTTCTTTGGCTTTTGATGTATAACCTGAATCAAGAAACAATTTTTTTCAAGATGATTCAACCATCTTTCTTCTTTTTCACCATTGCAAGATCACGTTTAAGGAAATTGAGCATCAATAAAGTAGAAGGGTTTACCAAAAACCCGATGGCCTGTCTAATATGCTTCAGCTCATCCCAAGCTGAACCTGCATACTGCATTTTTTCTGGTTAAAATCGAAATTAGAAAATGGACTGTGAAGTGTAACCGACTCCAAAATACCTCATCAGTTGCATCATAACACCAATGTTCCAATTCAGCCAATCCTGCTTTAACGTATTCACCATTACTAAATGAACAGCATTCTCGTCTTAGTAGAAGGCTGCAACAAGAAGGGGTTTATGCAAAGAGGATAAGGAAATATTTCCGTCTGGAGTATAAAAACTCAAATGCAGAGACAGAAGGCAAATAGACGGTACCTGTTGAATAGTTGAACATTGATGAAAGAAAAAATTTGTGTGAACACTTTACGGACCAAAAAAGGGGGTACCTGAAAATGGGAATAGATAAAAGGAAAAAGAACAGATAAAATATGATGCAGTGGAGGTGTCTTCAACATCGGACAAATGATGGAACAATAATGGAACAAAGGGAAAATCCACTGACATGATTTGCTTTCAAAGTGTTCAAGAAATTCCCAAGGCTTTTCACAATCCCTTGCCAGTGAGCAATCAAAACTTGCTGGGCTGCAGTGTTAGCAACTGAACGTGCTGATCCCTTAACCAAGCTTGCTCGGGAAGTTCTTGGTGCCTGGTATTATATCCAAACGATATATTTTAGATGCAAGCACCATGTAAGGGGAAAAAGAAATAATCTGAGTAATCCATAAACCAAAGAATTACTCAAGATGAGTATATAGAGAGATGCAACTCATATGTCAGTAAATAAGCCAATTCAAAATACCTGAATACACAACCCAAGCAAGGGAGAAATCTCTTTCTTCAGGTTATCTCGAATCATTCCATAAATCTTTTCTACATATGCTGTAAGTTGCTGCTTGAAAAGCAAAGCAGGGTATTTGGCTTCGACTTGGCGTAAATTGTCTACCCCAACAGCCAGGCCACCATTTACAAAGGAAAGATTAACACCTTGAGGAGCTCCACGGAAACTCTAAAAAGAATAATTGCAAATACATGAAGTAACTGTAGGACTAGAAAGTTTCTTACAGAATTTCTGTTTCAAATGGAACATTCAACTAACCTGTGTCATCCTCCCAAACAGAGTTGCTGACGATGATCGACGACGTTGAGGAGCCATTCCTGCTGCACCACTTGCTTTCAATGTGCGCTGGAGCAGCAATAGGAGAGTTGAGGCATTGGACAACCAATAAGCCAAGACATCATTGTTATCCTGGGTCTTCAATCCATATAAAGTTCGAATTTGTTAGAGCTTCTGATGGTGAACAGTGAAATAAAGATAGCAGTAGCATGTAGAAGTGCATAGTTCAAACCTCAATAGCATGACCTATGGTTTGGATGATACGGTCAAACACACTAGTCCGCTCAACTTCAAAAGATCTCCACTGCAGAAGGCATTTGTAAATGATGCAGGCTGCAATTGGTCTGTTCCCAGCGAAGCCCAAATGTTGTGCAACACACCGGATGAGCAACTCCTGATGCTCCTGTTGTTTCTCATTGAGCGATTTTTGTGGTTTGTCTTCTATTTCAGAAAGCTCCCTCTGGTTCAATGAAGGGCTGTGCAGATCCTAATGCATTTTGATTGACAATACAGATTTTGAAAATAGAACACTCTGGTAACCAGCCTTAAGTCTAAGAGAGTCAACTTACCATAGTTGTCTTCATATCTCCATACATATGACCACCCTCAGGGCCCCTCTGCCAGTTAAAAAACAGTTAAATTTCACAAAAGAACACAGATCTAAATGTTCCTACTTCATCTCATAAGATACATTTCAGGGATTACTTGAATTATTGATCTAGAGCGCCCTGAGAGGAACTTGTTAGGGGCCATGGACACAGCCTGCTGACGGAGAACTTTATTCTCTGATTCTAAATTGTTGAGCTTTTCTTCTTGCCTGGTTGCAATGTAAATTTCAGATTCAAGAACATCCAATACAATAACTTACAGATTTGAGTGTTGTATGCAGACCATCAATTGTCTGAAAGGATGTCCTGCAAGTGCTAGAAGAATTGGACAATGACATTCAGCCTCATCTAAAGAAATTTCAGCAAATGATACTAACCTCCCAGTGCAGGAAAGCTAATTCTAAAGTTTGCTACTGAATACCTTTTTCCCGTTTATTGAAATGTTGCTTGTCGTATAAGTGTAGTATTAATTATCAAAAATCACGACAAAATCAGTAAAGCTACCAAGCTTACATCAATGTTGAGTTAGTTATTGGAAAGAAAGCTACATGCAACGTTAATTGGTGGCCTAGTGTTTTAGGCTCATTCTACTGCAGCATCCAAGGACAGTCAGTATGCAACCTCAAAATTGTGCCTCAAATTTGATTGCCCTACTGTCCAGCAAAGTTCTCAAAAATGATGTATGAGGAATTGGACTTTTTATCTGATTGAGTTGCATTAGAAGCTCAAATTTGATGGCCCTACCGTCCAGCAAAGTTCTCAAAATGACGTATGAGGAATTGAACTTTTTATCTGACAAAGTTGCAACATTGATGTAACTTTGGAAAACATCATCTTTCATTGGGAAACTACATTGGCATCATAGATGGGAATGTAGCTGATCCCTACAGTTTATGACGTTTACCCAATTACAAAAAAAGTACCTCTTTGAGAAACCTGCTGTTTGGCTAGGAGCTAGAACACTATTAAGCTCTGGAAGTGAGCTCCAGCAAAAATTGACTTCTCTCATGCCTAATTTATTTATTATATTTGTGGTTTCTCGCCATATCTGTATATATTCTACAGTAAATGACCACTAGTCCATATTTTCTATATTATTACAGCACGAAGATATTAGCATCTGCTTTGTAGAAGGAAGACACTGCACTCCTTAAACCATAATTAATCAATTTGGGTATTATGCTAGGTGCAAGACATCTCGCAAAGATGTCGCCCTAGTATGGGTTGGTTGTAAACTTTGATCAAAGAAAGAAGAGCGAAAGGAAAAAGAGAAAATATTATTATTGCTAAATAAATCTACAATACTGCTTAACTTAGAATACACAATATAGACCCTTATATAGTAGAACAACAAAACAATGTAAAATGCCTAAACTACCCAGAATATAAATACTCTAACATCCCCCTCAAACTCATGAAGTGGTAACATCAAACATCAAGAGTATGCTAAGAAGAAAATGGAAGAACGCGATGGTGTGAGATTGCGTAAAGAAACGATCGACAAGTAGTCAATACAACCAAACTATCTCTGCTATTGTGAAGGCCATAGCATGATACTCAGCTTCAGCAGATATCGAGCCACAATAGTTTATTTCTTACTTTTCCATGAAATAAGAGAATCACCATGGAAGAGACAGAAACACACACTAAGCATAGCAATTATATCATCAAATGGTAAATTGAATTTTTATTCAACACTATGGAATTAAGAATTAGATTTGTTCATTTTGGTTTTTATTGAACAGAAACAAAAAAAGATTGAACGAATTTAGCATTTTTTGTTTCATCACTGGACTGGATAAAAGGGAAAGACAAAAATCAATAGCGGACTTGCGATCCATAGAGTCACCAGCCCAGTCCGCATCAGAGTAAGCAAGAAGTTCCAGATACTTAGAGGAAGAAAATAATAAACTCAACAAAAATTCCAAATATAGGCTCAACAAATTAAGGCCCAAATAGCAATGAGGGGTCCAACAGAAAACTAAAGCCCAACAAAAACCACCACTAACAATGCCCAACAAAACAAAGTACAACAAAGAAAAGAAAAAAAGACAAATTAGCAGCCCAACAAAAAGAAGTCCAAATCAACAAACCCAAAGGATTGGGGTTGCCCAACAAAAACCACTAGTAACAATGCCCAACAAAACAAAGCCCAACAAAAAAAAGAAGAAAAGCCAAACCAACAGACCAACAGAGAGAAGCCCAAACTAGCACCAACTCAAATCAACAAACCCAAAGGATTGGGGTTGCCCAACAAAAATCACCAGCAACATTGCCCAACAAAACAAAGCCCAACAAAGGAAAGAAGAAAAGTCAAACCAGCAGCCCAACATAGAGAAGCTCAAATCAATAAACCCAAAAGATTGGAGTTGCCCAAATCAAATAGCCGAAAGCCCAATAGTCCAAAATGGGTGCAAACTCAAAGTTTTGTTCTTAAACTCAAAATAAGACCCAAAGAGAATACCAGCAAAGCCAAGAGCAGAAACTAGAACCAAAAGCAGCAGCCAACGCCAAACAATCCAAAGTTCGCCACAAATCAACTCAATAGTTTTACAAGTCAAATACCCAAAACAAATTGAGGTTTCTTACACAACAATATAACAAAAATGGCACTAAAAATCGAGTTCGGCACTATTCACAATATGAACAGTAACTTCGGTACTGTTCACATCGGGTGAACATTATTTTCAGCACAATTCACAGTCCATAGAACCACAAAAAGTCAACAACCCATTAATCACTAGTCCTCAAATCACATAACCCAACACCAAGAACCTTTAGTCGCACTACTTAGGCTTGATATGAAGTAAAGAAGTCGAAGAAAAAAGCAAAAAAAATAAATCACCATAGATGATGTCAACCCTAATCCAAGAAATTATTCTTTTTCTAATTAAATTACTGTGGTACTATAATATATTTTGGATCGAAACCATACTCTAATAGCATGTAAACTAAGATCAAATAAAGAAGAACGAAAGAAGAAAAAAAAATATTATTATTGCTAAAAAAGTCTATAATACTGCTTAACTTAGAATACACAATATAGGCCCTTATATAGTAGGGCAACAAACAATGTAAAATCCTTAAAATACCCAGAATATAAATACTCTAACAGGTCAATCATGTTAGAAGCTTCAACCAGCTTTATACCCTTAAAGAAAATGCTCATGTAAAAAGTAATTTATGGTTGGAAGGTCAAGCTACAGATTAGGGATAACGCTTGGGAAGTAACTAATAATGCTTATTCATTCTTGGGATACAAATTTTTATTTTAGTTAAACTAAAGCAAAAAAATTATAACACTAGAACACATATAAAGGAAATAATATATTGCTTCGAGTCCTTTTTGTCTCTATCACTTGCTCCATCAATGTTTTAGCCATAAAAATATAGAGTTTTCTTTCTGAAATAATTTATTCCCTGTTTGCTAGAGACGCATTCCCTGACATTATTAATGAAATGGCAGTCTACCACAATCGTGGGTCGGTTTGGTACGTGGTACAGATACGAATACAGATACGGGATATGCTACTTTCCGTGGTACATGGTGTGGTGGGGATGGGCTTGACTGGTATGCTATTTTGGGTTGTAGTTCGCTTTAGATTCTTATCCAGATTGTTTTCATTATTACAAAAAAAAAATAATATATAGTCATACATTATACACACAAACAGTTGGCAGTTGTTTTAAACCAATAGTTTGCACACTATTATTTTAGTAATATATGCATAAGCAAACATTTAATTAGCATTTATTTTGTATTTTGTTATAAGAGTTTCAAGACAAATTGGCTCCCATAACAACACATCAACTAATAATCGTGAATAAAAAAAAAGTAATGGTTACATATTTTATTGCCAAAAAATAAAACCACAAAAATTTAGAATATTAAAGGTCTAAAATTTGAAAATAATATACTAAAAAGTGATTAAATAAAAGTATTAAACGGCTAACAAGTCTCAAAAACAAAAATTACTCAATAATTAAAAAAAAAACTCTAAAGCACAGTGTTTAATTGTACAAACATGTAACTTAGGGTAAGAATGTGAAAATATTTATAAGGCTGTGTGCAAAAAATTTAGATGTGCGTAAAGTAGCTAGCTAATCAATATAACCTAATATTGTTTTGACTTTTTTATGCCTTTTATCCAAAGTATGTTATCATGTCATTAGAGGGTTGTTTTTGGCTTTTCACCCAAAATGATACCCACTAGGTCCTAGTAGTCTACCAAATCACGTAAACATATCCCAGACCACCGATCATGTGAGTCGGTCTTCCAATAGAGAGAGAGAGAGAGAGAGATGGGTGTCATGTCTAATACAAAAGCCATCACAACGGGCAACCCATCTCAGATGAAAGCCTCTGATGACTGTCCTAACTCCCAACAGATGGCAACCCTATCTCAGACAAGAGGTAAAACATTTTAAATGGGCTACACAACCGGGAGATTAGCAACATGAGGTAAATTATTAACAAGAGGTAAAACATTTTAAATGGGCTACACAACCTGCTCAAAGATTCCTGAAGTTGATGAACCTTTTTTTCTGATTCTTCCAACTTTTTACGTCTTTCTTCACTAATTTCTTGGGATTCAGCATATTTGCTCCCCAGTTCACTGTAGTTTTGTTTTTCAGACTGCATTAAAACCTGAAATGCAAAAGAGGCAAAATACAGCAAATTAGATGTATTTCACCAGCTTAATAGAAGATATGCCCCTATAAATAGATAAACTAGAGCTACTAATCCTTAGGAAACTTACATTTCATGACAGTCATGGTATAATTGGAATCCAAATTTTAAATGAAACACATAGAAATTTGTATCTTAAATGAGTAATGCTTAAAGCAATGGATTTGGACAGACTAAAATTTGTATCTTAAATGAAACATATAGAAATTTGTGACTACTCTCCATGCGATCTTGGGGTTCTCAACTCATCCAGCCACAATCTGTGCAAAAATTGTGGGGCATTTTCCAAGGCATCAGAACATTATTATTGTCTGAGTAATGATTAATGCATAACCAGCTGCCTTTCTCTTCACAGCATTCACATCTCTCTCTCTCTCTCTCTCTCTCTCCCTATATATATATATATATATCTATGCCTCAAGGTCTTAGACTCCTTCATGTACAACTCCCTCTCACACTTGGAGACAACAGAGACCGTTGGCAATAAATGCAGCCAAAGACCTTGAGCCTGTGAGGCTGCAACGCCCCAGAACCAATGCTCTTGTACGCTATTAGATACCCATGTTTCAAATGCTCAAATGATTGAGAAATAGACCAAATTATACACGTCTATCAAGCTCTCGCCCATTTTTTCACATGCGCCCTCTTGCATATGTAGAGGAAGAAAGATAGAATGGAATGTTAAATATAAAATGTAAAGAAAGGGGGAGATGTTAACCAAATGTCTCCTAGAATCAAAGCATTGATACTACATTACATGATCACTTGCCCATTTAGTTGTTTGGCAATGGGCCAAACCCATAAATGAAAAAATCACACCATAAGCATACCAGCTGATCTAGCTCTAAAAGTGCAAAAGCTCAAGGTAGTTACCTGACAATTACTTTCTGATAGGATTTGATTGCTTACAGACCACAACGTAGGCCACAGAAGAAACCCTCTCTTAGAGCTTGTCCTACATTGGATTGCAACTCGAACTACTATATAGTCTTGTGGGAATCTTCACTTATTGCCAAGTGGTTTTGAATTTGATGCTTTAAAGAGTACCAAAGCTAGCTTTCTGGAGTTGATGATTGAGTCTCGCACTTTTCTTCCTTGTAAAGTTGTTCGGTCAAATAAATATGTATTCTCAGTAAAGTAGGTTGGTTGGTCCAATATGTTCTGATTGTGTTAGTTTCTCTGCGCTTGTGTTAGGTCACAAGTGCGAGAAAATGTTGAACTTGTTCTGCATTGATATTGAGAATTTTGGGCATCTATTTTCATTTTGTTTGGGTTGCATACTCTAACAGCACTATTGGAGTATTGGGCTATATTGTGTGTTAGATTTAATCAGCAGCTGATAAACTGGTATAGCCGTATGAAAACACAACATTTTAAAGCAAATGTTTTCAACATTTCATTTTGTCATAACAATTTTTGGTTTGGAATTTCATGCAACAACAATAAAATGTACGAGCATAGTGGTTAAGAGATCCAGTCCCAGATTCCATGCATTTGTTGTAATAAAGTACTATTTGTAGAATAAATATATACACATTCTTACCTTTAACCTATCAACTTCTGCTGTTAAAGATTCGACTTTTTGCGTATCTTCAACATAAACTGGGGTTTCCTTGATTACGGGAGGTGCTTCTTCGATAGCCTTCTTTGCAGCTTCTCTTTCCTTGACAAGCAATGCATTTTTTTCATCAACTTTTTTTTGCATAGCTTCCAACAAGTACTGCATCTTTGCTATGTCTTGTGCTTTTGTTTCTTCCAAATCAGTCTGCATGCATGATTTCAAAGCTTGACATGAGGATGTGCTCAAATTATTGTCACTTATTCAACAGTGTTAAAGTCAAAGATTTATGAGCAAGATCCTTCAACAGCTAGTACGTGTGATCCCATAAGAGCACAAGATTAAGATTTTTGTTGCAACGTATTGCAGGTCATTGTACAGACTTCATAGAGAAGAAAGATAATCCTTTGCCAGCATATTCAAATCAAATAATGGCCATCTGCTGAACATAAAATTACCCTTAAACGTTTTTCTAATTGTAAGCGCCAGGTGAGCTCCTCCAATTGTTTTTCAAGCTTATCCTTCGCCTCTTTGAGTGCACCTGTTTCCCTTGCAGCCTGCAGAGAGTTCAGTTGGAGGTCATAGTCAAATTTCAGAAAAAAGTAAATTTGAAAGAGGTACAAATCTCTAATGGGAAAGGAATACTCTGCCATAAAGTAAATACCAAAATTCGATGCAATATGGAGTTCTTATATCAAAATAATTTAAGAAGGAAATCCGTCTGGTAAACAAAAGGTTCCCTTAGTTGGATTTCATGTATGCAGATAATTTTAACGGTAGCGTAACAGTTGAATTTACGATACCAACGGCATGACAATTCCTAAAACATAATTTAATACAACTTTGATAGCAAAATAGCAGTCCTGACCATTTTGAGCTTTCGCAATTCTCTCCGACCAATTCTTCCCCTCCATCTGCATTGTGTAACTATTGATCCCTTCTTGAGCTTTTTATAATATGAGGAAGCTCTATGACAGCGCCACCAGGCCTAAGAAACAAATGCATTTATTTGAGAGCCCAGTAAACTACAAAATAAACCATCCACTCTGTAGATATATGAACAAATCAACCTGAATTATGGTCACAGCTTTAGTTTGCTTCCAAAATCTGAATTGTTTACGAGCTTCCATTGCACGCAAACCTGTTTGCAGCACAAGCACCGAGATCCGCAGTTCGCTATAGGCCTTTCTGGATTGATGTCTACGTGTGTTCTTCTGAATTTTCCCTGCAGCTGCCTCCCTTCTCATTCTCTCATAAAGCTTGTAAGCCAGTCTACCTAAAAGTCATACAAGAGCAAGCGAAATTGGAAGTGAGAAAACACAATGCTAAAGTACCAAGCATATGTTTGTGGTGTTGTGCTACCCCACACAAAAACACACACCCAGAGAGAGAGAGAGAGAGAGAGAGAGAACAGAGGAGGAAGTTAATAGCACACTATTGAGTCACTGTAGGAGGGAAAGTCTGATATTGAGGACGAAAAAACTATATACTCCGAGAACCACACTACATTTAGCAAGAAGACTGATCAATACTTCAAAATATTTCGATTGCTCACCTCTGCAAAGAGATTGCACATAAATCATAGCCTTTCGCAATGCTATAAACTGTTTACGAGCACTATGGGTTCGTACTCGCCGTTGTATGGTTTTCGCTGCATTACTAAGTACCTCTGCTCTTCTTGCATCTAATTCAGCCATCTGACCAGCTCTTAGAAATATCTTCGTTTTACCAATCTGCAAAATCATTACGTGATTGAGTTAAACTAATTGATTCCTTCAAGAAAAACCTGTGGCTGGGCCGTTTAGCCAACACCAAACTCCTTTGACATATGCATTGTTGAATTCATAGCATGCTTCCATTCAAGTGTATACCATGCTGCAGATTCAAGTCTGGTTTAACAGTGGTTACAAGATAGATCAGGTGTTATAAAGGCAGCAATAATCATATCAGCTCATACAAATCCGAATACAAAATCGAGTGAATGGAATATCAAACCTATGATCATGTTTAGAAATTAACACAAGTATGACAAGTAGCAAAGAAACTCCTGTATTACCTGGAATCCTTTGAGCCCCTTATTTTCCAGAATCTTTTTGCAAGCAACTTTTTCATCATAGCTGCTCATAAATGCATTAGATTTACAAAGAATATATACAAGTTTCTGGGGAAAGGTAAGAAAACTTTAACATGTGCAAATTGGCCAGGCATCGGTATGGCAGGCAAGCTTACAAAACTGTCTCCACTTAAGCTGTGGTGCATGCTAAAAGAGGGAACTTACTTTCCTTCCAAAGCCTCTGGTGCAAGAAGCCCAAATCTGTTTATGAACTCAAAAAAAGGACGGCGAGTAGGGTATCCAGCACAACTGATTCTGATTGCCTCTAAAACACCCTAAAAGGGCAATGATCAGTGCTAATTAATATCAAAAAAGTAAAAGTGCAATTGGATGTCTTATCAAACAGGAAAAAAAAAACTTCAAAAAATAGTAAGAACAGATGTACTCACGCCACAACGCAACTGTTGCATGATGTTGACATTCTCAAAGATAGCAGGTTTGAGATGATTGTTTGGCTTCACACATCTGATATAGTGAGGTTCTGTTGCATTAAGTGTTTCCATCAGTTGTTGCAGTTGCAGCTGCATCATAAAATTGAAAGATGTCAAATTTCCTTTTCTCATACATTACATCCTCTACAACTTCTTCAGGTGTAAAAACAGGGGCGCATTGTTTCTCAAGAGTGACATTAAGTGTCGCTTATAAATGTGATACAATAGGATTATTCAAAATGCACAAACAGGGCCACAACTACAATGTAAGCAAAGATACCTTAAATCGTGCACCAATTGAAGAGAACTTAGAAGATTTGGTAGTCTCTTCAGGTATTGGAGGAAAAAGGCCTGCTACAAAGTAACATTTAGAAGCACCCAACAGGTCTTGATATTCAGGAACCACATAGTCTTTGTTTTTGTCCAAAAATTGTTCAGATTGGTATAGAACCTGGAAATGAATGGGAGGAGTTAAAAGAGCTAAAAAGGTCATAATTTCAATATATAGAAGAGCTATGCTTTGGTAACCAAACAAACCTCTCCAGCATAATGTGAGATTGTGAAATCAGTGCGGGACAATTTAGGCTTGATAAAACGCTTGTGAGTTTTAAAAGTCTGATAGAGCTTGTTTGCAAATGTCTCATGTGTTGACTTCGGAAACATACTGCAAACAGAAGGTCCAGTAAAACAGAATAAGAACTAATCAAATTGCTTCAACCACCAGAAACTCATTTCTGCAGATGTTTATCAGCTGAATCTGTTTCTAACTAAATGGATGAAAAATAAATTAGTAAAATTTCTAAATGAACATGTACATATTTTATTTGAGAAACTAAACATATGAGAGAAAAGGGAAAGGAGATCCTTATACCAGGCTTCATCAAGGAGAGCAATGATTCCTCCCGGTTTCTGCAAAAATAAATAATACAAATTATAGGTTGACAGTAAGACTAATTACTATACCCAGACTGAATTGAACAAAGAAAGAGTGTTCCCCTGAATTTATTAATAACTTGACTCACTCAACACATGCTCTTCCCTCGGAAAACAAATTTGAGATAGAATCTGGATTTCAAAAAAACTCACGGAACTTTGAAGCTAGTGTCAACATCAATTATAAAGGGATCAGTTTATTTATGACAGAATACTGTTTGAGATTATAAGAATATCAGAATTACTGAAGAAAACTTATACAAGGGCGCAATTTTATTCACTTTCCAGCGACAACTCAACTAACAGAAACACCTTAATCACAAAAAGTTGGGATTCAATACATGAATCCTTCTTGCTATCAAGTAGGCTCTTCGTACACCCCCCAGAATAAGCAGATTCCCCATAAAAGTATCCATAGATATGTTACTAGTTATTTCATATCTGGTAAAAAAGAAAGTCTTGGCAAGTTGATATCTTGATTCAAACATGGTTCAAAGTTGTAGCATCGGTCATCAACTTGGAGGGCATTGATACACATTGGTCGCAGCGCCGCGGCACGATATCGGCCGATACACTCAAATGCAAGTTAGAAGCTCCAAAAAATTTTAAAAAATCATGAAAATTTTTAAAAAATATAAACATTATCATTGATTCATCATATGTCCACAATACATCCAAAAACACATTAAACATAATTAAATTGAAACATAAGGGCGCTACCGAACATAATTATCATTCATAGTGTTCAATTTAAGCATTTAAGAACATGTTGATATTTTGACATTTAGTTAATATTTTGAGCTTAAAAAAATTGATATGTTTATTATTTAATGGTCTGCGGTAGAGTAAATTTTACCTCTAGTAAACTTGGACAAAAGTGTACTAAAAAACTATTACGCACAAATAAAATAAATTAATCATTTTAAAAGAAAATAAAGGAAAAAAAACTGCCTATTTTTTATCTGTTGGGACATACCTGCAAAAGTGTACCCAAAAACTATTACTCACATAAAATAATTTAATCTAACTTAACGAAGATAAAGAAGTAAAAGGAAAATAAAATTTTTTTTGCTAATTTCCAAAAACAGAGTCCTTTAAAAAAAAAACAAGAGACGTTAGCTTCCCAAAGACGCTTTATGCGTCTGCGTCTTAGTCCACAAGGGGGGGGGGGAGAAGAAGAAGAATCCGAGAGGAGATAAACCGACGAAGTCAACTAGAAAGATAGGTGATGAAGCCACCATTGCCAGAGCTTCTCCTTTTATGATACTGCGACTGGTTCGCAACTTGTAGTTAGCAATGAAGGATTGAAGAAGAAGAAGAATAAAGAGAAGAGAAGAAGCTGATTTGTTTGTGGGATCTTTGATTCTATAGGTATCAAGGATCAAATTTTCATTTTGATGCATTGCTTCGATCACCTAAAAAACAGAAATGTTTCGACATGTTTCAAAAACGTTTCGACCCATTTTAAAAACATAATGAAAAAAAATAAAAATTTAAAAATTATTTTTTCAAAACATTAGTCGAAATATACCAAAATATCTTCAAATATCTTGAAACAATGCAAAATAATTGTGCAAATGCATTAAAATATAACAAAAAATTTTGAAACATTATAGAACACCTTGAAGTATTAGAATTTCGATTCCATCAATAATTCGTTTCGGTCTTCTTGGAAACAGAAACGTTTCGGATGTTTCGACCACTTCGAAATGATATTTTGAAACTTGACTGGTACATAAATTATAACCCTTCTCTTTTGCTTTAGATTTTTGCTATTGGTCCAGAATTTTAGAGATTTTACACAAGATTTGATCATACCAGCCGATTCCAATTTGAATCGTTCGAGTCCTACCGAGTTGAATCTGATTTATGTCGAAGTGCTTGAGTTCTGCCAAGATATCGCCGATATAGGCCTGACTTTTTTGCGTTTCGTGTGTTGTTATCATATCGATAATGGCCGAGTCGTATTGGACTCAACCAATTCCTAAAACCCTAGATTCAAATCTAAGGCAATCCAATCTTTTTAACTTTACAGCATGTCAGTCAAAAATTCTTTCTAGAACTTGCCCCAAATTTAAATTCTGTTGAGCTAACCATCTAATAAAAACATGGTCACGGATATTCATGGAACCCTAAATCAAACAATTTCCTAGGTCTCCACCAGCAATTTACTGGTATACAATTCTAAAGAAATTAGGACAAAAGCTGCAATAGCACATTATCCTTAAAAGCCTATAACATTGTTCTTCGGTTTCTTGTTTTCTATTTTGGGTTTAAGATTGTGGTATCACCCATCGACTCAGAGGGCTTTAAGACATATTGGTAACGGCGTCGTAGCACGGTATTGGGCAATATGACCTAAAAGAATAAGTTGAACATAAGGAGAGATTCAGACTATATCGTAGCACTGCGAAATGGTATCGGTCAATTCGGTGACGATATCTCAATAACTTATTGAATCAAAAATGACTCGGACTAATCAAGGAAGACTCGAGGTTCAAACGTAACGTGTAATGGTATAAACTCGAAAAGTGCCGAGTCGTATCCGACTCGGTCAATACTTTGAACCTCTGCATATCATACAAATGTGATCATTTTATTTCAGTTATCACTCGGGAAAAATTCATGTAGCTTTTGTTTTCTATTTCTTTTTTGTTTCTAAATCAGAGTATATTTTACAAGCATATAGTGGTGGCAACGATGATCCAACAAAACAAATTGTTGGATTTATTATGAATTCAAGGAGTAAGTCATTTCGGAGATGATATCACACAGTTGTCATAGTTTACTACAAATCAACGGGTCAATTTAATGTACTAAACCAATAGTAGCAGTGGCATTGGGACCAAGGTGGGCCCTTGTCAGTAAAAAAATCTAAAATTGCATTTTAGCCCTTTAAATTGATTCTATTTTTGAGAAAAATTGGAGCCCCCCCCCCCCCCCAAAAAAAAAAAAAAAGAAGAAACATGGAACGTATTGGAAATCTTAGTGTGGTGCCTTATGTTATATTCCTCCTTGTTGGCCCTCCCATAAAAATTCTGGCTTTGCCCCTAAATAGATGCAAAGAATGAATATACAAAAACCTGCAGGGGATATATATTCCTGGTTCAGGAAGAAGCAACTGTGAAAACAATGTTAAGGGGATCATTTACTCTTTTTTTTTTTTCTGACTGGTAGAAAGCCTAAAAAGAGGAAATTTCATGCTAGACATCTTGATATCTATTTATTTAAACCTGCATAGCAGTCTAGAGATCTCAATACTTAAAAGAAGAGCATTAAGAGTCAAACTAACGGAAGAAAGAATGCGAGCATAAAAAAGTAATAGAAAAAGGGAATAAAACACAGAGAGAAAGTCAAATTTTTAGAAATAACAATTCTAGATACACACACATAAACAAATAACGTGAACGAAAATGATAACACAAGTATAAGAGTTTGTCATACGAGATGAACAAAACCAGATTTTGGACTACTGAACCAGTATTCAGTTTTTTTTGCATCCATACAAATAACTAAGGACGTTGAAAGCAACGGGGCAATGAGAACAGATGGATTTTGGGTACGTAAGGGGATCAAGTACAAACTTGAAACCTTAATTCTAAGATAATATTCAAGTTAGCAGGAAACTTTTTTTGGAAGTACAGTGATGGATAGTTTAACGAAAAAAAGAATATAAGTATTAAGTATAAAAGAAAACTTCAACCATTCTATGAAGATATATCCACATGAATAAATGGGAGACAATTACCCAATGCCACCGTAAAATAGTTAGAATTGATTGGTCGTACCTATCCAACAATCAAATATGAGTGACTTGCTATTCACTCGGTTTTTTGGGTCATAATCAGTATGTAGGAGAGATGGCCAAGTGGTTCAAGGTGTAGCATTGGAACTGCTATGTAGGATTTGGCTTACAGAGGTTCAAATCCCTCCTTTTCCATCCTTTCAGCTAGTTCACCAATCTTACTCATCACAATGGAGCACATAGCAATGGATACCATTATTCCAACAGTTGGACCTTTCCTTGATATAGGTCTGACTCAACAACAGGAGTTCCTAACCTGGTATTTTGGATGTCTGAACAGAAATTTGCTTAGTTGGAGTGCAAAATAGTAACTATAACAAGAAGTATAATCAACCAACCATGATTACAAGTGCAAATAAAAGGGGAAATACCTTTTCAATAAGATCTAAAACATCTTGATTATCAACAAATTCAATGTAGCTCCAATCAATGGCCTCTTTCGTGTATTCTTCTTGTTCCATCTTGAAGACGTGCTGAAGGACACCATTGGAAACTTAAGCAAAAAGCTGACAATAAATGAAGCCTTAAATGGCCAATATGATGTAAGGGCTACCTGGTTAAAATGTTGTTGCAGCTTCTCATTTGTGAAGTTAATGCAAAACTGCTCAAAGCTGCAAAGCATGACATGCCAAAGTTAAGATAAAAGAACTGCCCAAGCCTGTAAAAAAAGGTAACTGTATGCAGATCTTCATGATTATATAAAAAACCTAAAAATTTTATTGGGTTATCAAGTCTTGGTTGCTACCTGTTATGCTTAAAACTTTCGAAACCATAGATATCAAGGACCCCAATCAGAGATTTTGAATTAGGATCTTGTCCTATTGAGACATTAATTTTATCAACCAACCTGCACATGATTAAAAATTAACAAAGCAAAAAAGAAACTCAGCACCATATAACTATCCAAATCTAGTTTCTCTGACAGGAATTGCATTTCACATGTTAACAGTATGATTAGAATTCAGCTTCTTACCAATCAAATAATCTAGAATATATTGTCTTAGCCAAACCGTCCCTGCTAACGGTTGCACTAAGAGGATCAAGACTTCGCTTTATCACTTCTTCAGGGGTTATCATCACACGTTTACATAATGCATCTTCCAAGGCCATGGGATCACACCTAAAGTAAACATTGAATCAATCTCTGCAACCATATGCAATGACACATATAACCTATAATCTCTTCAGGTAATACTGGGAATAGTTCATACATAAGAAGTTCAGCTGTCATTTTAAGATGGAATTTGGATTTGTCATCTTTGGGGACTGATGAATCAATTTCCTTTCCCTTAGCAAAATCAATATTGCCTAGATGAAGAATTGCCGCAACAACTCGGAAAATTGCTTCCTGAGTGAGAGAGAGAGAGAGAGAGCATAAGCGAAAGGCCCTTCCTAGTACCTATAAAGCAGTGGAGGAAATGAAATGCACACACTTCTGATAAAGGTCATACCTGCTCCTTTTCACTTATACCAACAATATCCATTGCTCGCCTGGTGGCAAGATAGTCATGGGCATCACTTACACCAACCAGCTCATAGCACTTTGACTGGTTAAGATAGTGAAATGATTTGGGGCTTCCCAATTTGTACTTCTCAATTTCCTGTAAGGCATAAATGATACGAAAGTTAAGCACCAAAAAGGACAGAACTATGAGACAATGCTCTCATTGGAGCAAAAAGAAACCTCCTGAGGTGCTGCACATAGAAGGTAAAAGCAGTGGTAGTTGCGTTCGGGATCATTAATTTGGCAAACACGAGATCTCTCCAGAAGATAAGTCCTGACTGCTGCCCCTGATATTCTACCATGCTTATCGAACTGGATCTCAACAAATTTACCAAAACGGCTGCACCAATATTATATTTCAAACATCAATATTTATTAATGGAAAAAGTTCAATTCAGCTGTCCTAAGCCGTCTATTGATACTAATCCTCAGAAAATGGAAATTCATATTAGCAAATATAACTACTTTATTTTCACTAGGAGAATTTTTGCCAGAGAAAACAATGAGCACATCCACCAACAAGTCTCCTGTGTAACATTGGATTCAGTAATGGAACTCAGTTTGTTAAATGAGTCAACAATCCTAAAGTTAAAAATTGCATACCTATGGTACAAAGTCGATAGGAATGATGGAATATTTATGTTCTATAGCACAAATCTGAGTGAGGCTCACCTGGAATTGTTATTTCTAACAGTTTTAGCATTTCCAAATGCTTCAAGAACTGGATTGGACTGCAATCAGATCAGGATGTGCAAAAGTCTCATTACGGTGTCATATGAAATCAAATTAATCATAAGTGGCAGAAGATAATAAAATAAGCAAAAAATCAACTAAAAACTTAAAGTAAAGAATTAAAGCTCTGCAATAAGTCATACTTCTAGGACTTGTTGTTCAACTGTGCGTCCTTCAGTGGCTACCCGGCCACCCAAAAATGCAAGATACCGCATAAGCATTTTCGTGGTCTCGGTTTTACCTGCTCCACTTTCACCACTGACCAAAATCGAATTGCTTTTGTGCTCATTGATCATTGCCCTATTTTCAGTGGAACATTACCATGTATTAGGAAGATCATGAAAATAATATTAATACAGTTGTACTTGGCTTGTCATTTTTCCGGCGGGTGGGGGTGGGGAGTACCTATAAGCGACATCAGCAACAGCAAAAACATGAGGGCTTAGTTCTCCAAATGGTGCTCCCTTGTATTGTTGCATCATGTGAGCATCATAAATATGAGGCAATCTTTGGAATGGATTAATTGCAATTAAGATATTTCCAGTGTAAGTCTGTCATAATATCAATAATTAGGAGATACATAGTATGGCACAGAACATAGTGCAGAAACTAAGACTATTCAAGAATGAAAACTTACATAGATTTCATTAAGTTCATATCTTGTTTTTAAATTCTGCAGGACTCCAGGCTCATGCAAGTAAGATAGCTTTGTCATGTCATCAACACCACCTGCAGGTGCTTCCATATCCTTGGGATATATATTTGATAACTTTGCACCAACCTGAAAGATAGGCAGGAACATGAATCTCAAGATGCTTTACAGTTTTACAATGCTAGATGTGTGTAGGTTTAATTATTACTGCAAATGCGAAGCAAAGGTTTTTAGCTGTCAAGTTGCGCACGCTTTTCGTATTTCAATGTATAACATATATGATGACAAGGTTAATTGACATATGACATCTATACTGTCTAGTTTCCTTATTTTCTGTATCACTGTTGCCGAAAAGACAGAAGAAATTAACTTCATTTTTCTAAATTATGCAGCACACATTATTTTTAATACATAGCAAAAATAGATCTTACAAATTGCCTCAAGAGAGAAGAGATGGTGTATCAGGTCATATACCCATATTCACATATTTATTATGCTTCTTCCAAAAGAAAGGGGATACTATCATAAATATTACTTCGAAACTCCATTTTCAGTAAACAAGCTGGTCAAAAGAGAGGTGAAAATATGAAAGGAGATGTAAATATTTGTGGGTATGTTTGAAGGAGAACTAACAATTGTTATAAAGACAACAGAAAAGTGTAACTATGTGTTCATGTCTAGGATATTGAACAGCAAAGTGTTGTGAATTCAGCTACACACTACAGAAAAGTTGCATTAACTTGTTTTGGTGACATATGTGATAGATAAGTGACCGTATGCGTTTGAAACCTGCGAACATGATTGGTGAGATGATATATTCTTTTCCAGGTTCAATATTTGAACTAGATGCCCACAAAAAAACTTAGAAGAAACAGAACATCAAGAAATGAAGTGCAATCATGGGCAGAGAACTTACATTCTTCCCATTACTGATCTGGACCTCAGCTTTTTCCCCTGAAATTTTTATTACCTGTCCATCAACCCAAGCTAATGCTGGGTCCTCAACCCAGACATGAGAACCCACGATAATATTCACCGAAGTGCCCTGCAGCGATTAATCATTTAGACAGACTTCAAAGAATGAGACTTCTGTAAGAGATATCTTTAAATTTATCTTGATGCGTGACATACATGTGTGTGTGTGTGTGTGTATTCATTAGTTTCATAAAAGTGCACTTCTCGAACTACATACACAGGAGGAAGACTTACCCCCACTCCGCACAAAAAAAAAAAAACAGAAAAAAAAAAAAACAAAGAGTAGGAAGAAACCTCGTATTATAGTTGTAACAAAAAGTTCTGATTCTATTACACCGGTGATGGGCCACCATCACCATTACTGGAAATCATAGATGGCATGGTACCGCTTAAACTCTTCAAAACACACCCTTCATCCTATCACATTCTTGCTTTATGATATAGGGGCAAACCATATCACTGCTTAAGATTTGCCATATAATCAGAAATACATCAATTGAAATGGGCTCTACTAGGTAACTAACTTATTCAGTTTGTCAAAACAAAGTGAATTCAATCATTTGCTGCCTTCTTACCAAAAAAAAATCCATTTGTCGCTTACTTACCCACTTAATGAGCCTTCTTTTGGATTTGAATTTCACATTCTATTGATATACACTAACAGATGATTTATGTGCTAATCCTCTCTTACATTCAAATAAGATCTTTATAATCAGTGAGGCATCCCTAGCAAATCATTCTTGCCAAATTTTGTTGTTACCCAGGTGCTCATTTCAGTTGTATAAAATTCATACTCCTGATAACCATCATTTCCACTTGTTCATACATACTGTTTATATAGCATTTTTTATCCCATTACGCCTGTAGGTTTTTTAACTATGTCTTTAGCTAAAAGCAATTGTTACAGGCCATTCCACCCGCCAATCACAATCCTCCATCTGCCACTGACGCAGGTACTGTAATGCAGGAGCTTAGCATTTAACTTTAACCACATTATTGGATGCCTGCAGTATTCCACCTTATCTATGATTTTAAATTTGGTCATGAGATCTTAGCAGAAGAGGGATGCGCATGCCATGATTTTCCAGATCACCGGAGTATCCCATAAAACTAGAAATTATATATGTGACCATGCAAACACCGATTCACCATGTATAATACGTACATGTGTGTCACCTCCTCAAGGTCTTCAACACATATCTGTGAATCGATGCATACTTATTGATGAAATTATGACTTAGTTTAGTTTATATAACGAAATTACATCTACAAGCTCCTCGAATATCAAATTTTGTCCAACTTAATTTCCGTAATATGGAATAGAGGCTTGCACTATCTACTCAAACAACAGACTAGGAAACCATTTCTCTTATTGAAGTCATCTCATGGAAATAATGTAAAGTTCAACTTCTGCTGAAAATCATCATTCAAATGTCTTATAAATTCCTACAGGCTATCCGCTTGCCCATTTACTTCCAAAAGATTCAACTATCAACCAACCCAATTCAAGTGCCATTAAAAGGTTTCAACTTCTATTAAAGCTAACAAATGGCTGTAAGGAGTGGTAGTTAGCTAGTTGGATCATATGTGAGCCATATTCCTGTTATCAACTTAGCATGTAAAATTACAAAAATGGATTCAAATTATAACCAAATTTCGTAATTATTATTCCAATACAATATTTTGACATGCATAGCTATCTAGTGGCTAAAGCCTCATTATTTCTTTCCCCTTATCTGTGTCCCCCATGTTTCACAATTTTTTCATAAGAGAAGAAAATTAGTACTCTTCTTTTCTGAGAGGAAGTTTAGAAGTAGCAGGCAAACTATATATGTTTCTATACTTTTGTGAACTAATGTGTGATTATTGTTCGAGTCTTGTCTCTTCTACATAATGAAAAAGGTATATTACACATACAGATTCAAACCAAAAAACAAATATATGTCATGCCAATTTTACGTACCATTTTTCAGCTTCTACCCGATGCTCAGCTTCCCAAAGATTTTCCTTTTTCTCCTTCTCAAAGGATCAAATCTTGTGCATTGAGTTCCGTTTAAATCAGGTAAACCATGTCTCTGAAGAACTACGTGACCATTCGCCAATACACACGTAGTCCGACGGAGATGCTTTTTCTTACTGATTTTCTAGGGAAAACGACCAAGAAAATGATAGATAGCTGAGTAGGAGTGTCGATTAGTTTTCTCTTTTTTCTTCTGCTTCTCTCTCTGTCTCTCGTCTTGGTGTCTTTTCGTTTGTGGAAGTGACGGTGTGACATTGTTCAAAACTTCCTGTAAATTCGGATCCTCTCTCTATCTCTCTCTCTCTCTGTCTCTCTGTCTCTCCCTTTCTCTCGAGCTCCCGCCAAATTGTCGGAGATTCGTGGCTAGAAACGATGTCTCTCTCTCTCTCTCTCTCTCTCTCTCTCTCTCTCTCTCTCTCGTACTTCAGCATAGGCTTTGGCGCGGACAACGTAACCGCTGCCCCTATCGTAAGGTACTCATTGGATCCTCTAATTTCCAAATTTTGTGAATTTCAAGCCAGTGCAGTGCAGCGCTTCGGGATTTAAAAAGAATTTTAGGATCCATGGTATTTTTTTAATATTTAAAATTTAAGAATTAATTACATTAGAAGTCGCTAAAGAATGAAATTTGTTTTATTTTAGTCTCTAATATTTTAATTATGAGTAATGCTACATGAACTTAAAAAGTAGACTTAAAAATTAGATTTGATAATCTCAACCATTGATTTTACTGTGAGTCTCAGCATTTATTGGGATTTACTACCTATTTAATGGTTGAAATTATCAAGTTTAATTTTTAAATTTATTTTTTAAGTTCATATATCATTACTCATTAAATATATCATTTTTGTCCTTGAAATATTGAATATGCTTCTATATGGTATCTCAAATAGACAACATTCAAATTGTTAATAATTTTTTATTATAAACTTATCACGTAATACTTAAATATGAGTTAAAAAATAATTTGCATAACTTTTGACTAAATTTTAGTCAAAAAATTACTCAAATTACACAATTTTGATTATGAGTTATCCAAATTTTGATCAAGAACTACTCATGTTACATATTTTTTGTCAAGAATTAACTAAAATTTGGTTAAAATCTATCCAAATTATTTTTTGTCCATATTTAGGTATCACGTGACAATTCTATTATTAAAAATTGTTAGCAATTTGGATGTTATTTGTTTGAGGGACCATATAAAAATATATTTAGTATTTTAAGGACCAAAATGATGCAATTAAAATATTAGAGATCAAAATAAGATAAAACTCATATTTTAAGGACATCCAGTATAATTAACCAAAAATTTAAAAAGATACAACTCAATATCCATCATGGATTACAATAAATTTTACTCCCATTTGAATTTATTCTCTGTTATCCCAACATTTTTATAAACAATAATGTAGCCTCTATAACAAAACTTTATTAAGAATAATTTTTTATACTTGACCAAAATAGAATTTACCCAAAATTGACAAAATGATAATAAAAAAAAAAAAGGATAAAAGGAAAAAGCCAAGTGGCAGCCCTCGAACTACATCAATCTAATTTTGTTAGAAAAACAACTAACAAAATTTATTACAGAAAACCAACTCATGATTTCACCAACAAACATCCACATTAATGAGACCTCCACAACATAGAAACAAATTTATAACTAAATCAAATTGTCATTCACACACAAATTGTCAATCACCAGGCTTGAGCCTACCTTTAACCACCCAAGTACCCACTCTGTTTGAATTGTCCATAAATTCGAATTCCCTCCAATTTGGCACCCGCACTTGTGTCTTCATCTTCCTTGCAATCTCATCGACTAATCATTCAATGAAAAGACCATCCATTTATCGTTCCCTCCCTTATTGTCAAACTCACCCTTCTATTAGATTTTTCAATCTCCCATTCACAACAAGCGAGAGACTCTTCTTAGAAACTATGGCATTATTGCATATTGACAATATAAAAGTTAACAAGCATGCAAAGCTAAACTACTGGCACCAATTCTATGCAAAGGAGGGTGAAAGGGAGAGGAGACATGTGTTGTATAAAATATCTTCTATTCTCAGTATTAAAACTCTCGAATTCAATTTTATATTGTATTTGGTTGCAAAAAATGCTCAGTATTATATATAATCTTATTTTAAATGTTTATTTAAATAATATACTCAATCCGTATTATTGAGTCGATTATAATACCACCTGAGAAGGTGGTATTATAGTCCAGTTCAAGTGCATTACGTTATAATTTTCCTATTTTACCCACAAAATAAATAAAAAAATATTAATAACAAGACAAGATTGATAATTTTTTGATCAATATATAATTAGTACTCTATTATCCCACTCTTATCTCTTACTAAATACTGAGTTATAATGCGTAGTATTTTTGTTCCCTATTCAATCTTATATTTGATCTATTTGTACAAAATTAATTTGTATTACCTAATACAATCCATTCTTATATAATATGGTAACCAAACGACTAATATTATTTTTATTTATTCTCAAAAAATGAAATTTTAAACAATAAATAATAATCTTGTCGAGCACCGTCTATCTAATAAGATAGCTAGCACTTTGAATTTTGTCTCCACATATTTTTCCCTCTCATTTCTATCACATCATCGATTTCTATATAAAGTTGAATCATTTAGTTTTTGATTATCTTTTGGTTTAATGCAATCATTTAATTTATTTATATATAATAGTGTACACATGTTGATATTGTTTTAAGGTCATGTATTTTTAAAAAAATTGTTAATTTTTTTTAAAAAAATAATGGATAGAAATTGATTTCAAATTATGTAATTAAAAAAAGGGTAGGGGAATGAAAAAAATTACTGTCTATCTAATAAGATAGCTAGCACTTTGAATTTTGTCTCCACATATTTTTCCCTCTCATTTCTATCACATCATCGATTTCTATATAAAGTTGAATCATTTAGTTTTTGATTATCTTTTAGTTTAATACAATCATTTAATTTATTTATATATAATGGTGTACACATGTTGATATTGTTTTAAAGTCACGTATTTTTAAACAAATTGTTAATTTTTTTTTAAAAAATAATGGGTAGAAATTGATTTTAAATTATGTAATTAAAAAAAGGGAATGAAAAAAATTACTATTAGTACAGTAAAACCAATTTTTTGAGTACTCGAATTTTATATTATATTGTGCATTGAGGCATGGAATATGACCAATAGAATAATACTCTAGCTCAACAAATTATTATTATTATTATTATTATTATTTATCAAAGCCCAACAGATTATTCAATGAGCAAAACTTAGACCACTCAAAAATTTAAAAACCCCTTGAAATTAGAGTAGAATTTTAAATAATAATTATAACTCCCTTGTTAGGTGCTAAACACGAAGTTATTTCATAATTTATTTCATTGCCCTCAAATGTTTTTAATTCAATCCAATACTATTATTAGACTTAAATGGGAGAATTACATATCGTAGCGGAATAGGATATTTACCTCCCGTCATGTAGTTCAAGCCTTAGAACCTTGAAATTCTGAATCATAGCCTTAGATGATCAATCACTCACAAGAAAACCAAACACTCTCACAGTCACTTTATGGAGGTGAGGGAAAAAAACTTTTTAACTTGGCCTACGTTCAGAATAGTCTATACATAGATGACATTCACAAGCCTTTATTTATAGGAAAGTCAAGAACCTTGATCTTTATCACTTAGGTAGTACAACTTTATCAGGTTCCTTCCATCAAAGACTCTGAAACTAACCTGATGACTACAACTAACTTGATAACCACAATCTTATAGTGGGTAGATTGACCAAATCTCAATTACCAGAGTTTATACAATTTAGCCGACAAACCTTTAGTCATGGGATCTGCTAACATTAGCTTAGTGCTACACTCAATAGCCACCTCATGCTTATTACTATGATCTTTGACAACCAAATACTTAATGTCGATATGCTTACTTTGGCTTCCACTTTTGTTATTTTTAGAGAAGAAAACCACAACCGAATTATCACAATAAATCTTTAGGGGTCGGGCAATAGAATTGACAACCTTCAAGTCCTTGATAAAATCCCTCAACCACAATGCCTATGATGTAGCTTCATAACAAGCAATGAATTATACCTCCATAGTAGACGAAGCAACGATTGTCTGTTTAATGCAACTCCTCCCGCAAGAAGATAGATGTATCCTGAAGTAGACTTTCTAGTGTCAACACATTCGACAAAATCTGAGTTCGAATATCTAACCACTTCCCAAATGTCAGTGTGTTTATATGTGAGCCTACAATCCTTGGTTCCTTGCAGATACCTCATAAGTCTTTTAGCAACTTTCCAGTGCTCAAAGCCTGGATTACTTTGGTATCTACCTAGCACCCCTACTACATATCCAATATCAGGTTGTGTGCAGACCTCTTCATACATCAGGCTACCAACAGTCAAAGCATAGGGTATGCTTTTCATTTGTTCTTGTTCCAAACTATTTTGTGCGCATTGTTCCCAACTGAATTTGTCCCCTTTAACAATGGGTGCTGCAATAGGTGTATCCTTCATTCTAAATCTTTCCAAAACCTTTTCAATGTAAGCCTTTTGAGACAATCCTAATGTTCTTTTAGATCTATCTCTGTGAATCTCTATGTCAATGACATAAGAGGCTTCACCTATATCCTTCATTTCAAAATTTTGGACAAGAAATTTCTTAGACCTAATGCAGCAAACCCAAGTCATTATTTGCAAATAAAATATCATCCACATATAGAATTGAAAAGACATATTTGCTCCCACTAACCTTCAGGTATATACATTGATCAACAATATTTTCTGTAAAATCATATGAAGTAATCACATTGTGAAACTTCAAATACCACTAACGAGAGGCTTGTTTTAACCCATATATAGATTTTCTTAATTTGCAAACCAAATGACTTTCTTTTATCATTAAATCCTTCAGGTTGTCTCTTGTATACCTCTTCTTCAAGATCCCCATTTAGGAATGTTGTTTTCACATCCATTTGATGTAGCTTTAAATTGAAATGAGCTACTAAGACCATGATTATCCTAAATTAATCATTCTTAGAGATTGGAGAGAAGGTTTCATGATAATCAATGCCTTCCTTTTAAGTGAAACCTTTGGCTATGAGTTTGACCTTATATCGTTCTATGTTACTAGACTCGTTCCTTTTGGTCTTGTAGACTCATTTACAGCCAATTACTGAATGTCCTTTTGGTAACTCAATGAGATCCCTAACTTGGTTTTGATCCGTATATTTCATCTCTTCTTTCATGGCATCATACCAAAGTGTGGAGTGTTTTCCACTC